CCATACAGAATTTTGTACGACGACATGGAAGAACAAAACCCTAATGTATCTTCCAAAAATCCTAAAAAACCCTTGGGGACCACCCCCAATGGTTCGTACCCTGAAAACCTATTCCTTACAGAAGTCTAGCCATAAACACCCACCATTATTGCCTGGTTAAGTTGTCCACGAAATAGAAAAAGGAAAGCAATGGAAGGATCTTCCTTACCTTTTTGGCTGTGGGGGTCGAACTTCTTACTGTTAACGGAAAGTGCTCACTAACTTGAAGGATTGAAAATCTGGTCTGGCGAGAGCTTTTTGCTTTTTTGAAAGTATGAGTGTTGTAACATTGCTTAAGGCGAGCCTGGGGTTTTATAGTAGAGGAAACGACGATTGGTTTTCTTGAAGCCAAGCGACGTTTGGGTGGAATGCGTCTCTCGCCGTTGATCGCGACCACATGTCATCAATCGATGAGAATGAATAACCGCCACGCTTCGAGAAATTCAATCGTCGCTTCTCTCCGTTGAAATAATCGAGCAATGGCTCGATTCTCTCCTCTACATTAAATGCGCTCTCATCCGCATTTAATGCCTTGATAAAGAATGTTGTTTCAGCATGTCTTGCATTTAATACACATGGCTGACACTTATTGCGCACAAGACATGTTTGTTAGAATAAAGGATACTTCATTAATGGATTCGCTATCAAGCGCAACAGATAACATCTGAAGAGGTCGTTGGAAAAGAACACTCTTCGTCGCATGTCGGTTGCAAAGCGAAGTGATTCCTTGCCTCCAGCAGAAATATGCCAAGTGTAATCAGGTCGCGAACCTCGGTTAAGATAAGGTGCATCAATACGACACTGAGTAGGGTCTAATCCAGGTTATCGACTTCGCAGAAGAAGACCATCTCAGGTCACTCGTAGAAAAATGTTCTGCGACCTCCTTGTAGCCAGGTTGGCTCGACCACGCGTCATTTGGATATGTCAAATCGTGGCATAATTATTAAGTTCTTAAGGTTCGATCCTTAAACATTAAAAACTAGGGGACTTCTGTTATGCTTGAAAAAGTTGGGTTGATGTGGAACCTCGTCAGTAAAGGATGGTCAGAGCTCAGAAGGGTTCTGTGCCACCTCGGTGTGGCCATGTCGTGCCTAGCGCAAGTGGCATGGCTCCTGTCAGTGCAGCAGGTGAGTGCCAGACTAGCAAGCGACTGGAGATCGCCCACGTGTCAAAGCCCTGCTTTAATCGAGGAAATCCCTCGGGCAGGTGATCAATGGGACGCAAAGAAAGGATTTGTACGACACCTATCCACTTGCAGCTTTCATAATCATTACCTTGAACTTTCCCAGTATAAATAGAGGACTTCCCTCTCATTTGGAGGGATAAGCTGATTTTACGCTGAAATAGCTCTCTTTCTCTCTCTAAACTGTAACTCAGTTCGCAGAACACGACCTGATCTCTCTCTTATTAATACAATAACAGTAGACGTAAGATTCGCTTTAGAGCATCCAAACCACTTTAAATATTGCTCTTCACCTGTTATTTGATTCAATCCCCTCATATCACGTGTGACTTCTAAGTCATTTTAGCATTTTACACGTGCGAGTAGTTGGTGTCAAAATCAAGCATCAACAATATATAAATACAGTGGAAACACTTATTTTATTAGAATATGGGCATATGCAAACAAAATAAATTATCTCTATTTGTTGCTAGGTGAAAGAAGTTATATGTGATTTCTCACTGCTTATTACTGATAATGCTTTGTAGTAGATAATTTTGCAGTTGGTATAGCAATAAGTGGGTTTCTCTTCTTCAAAAAAATTCTTAATTTCTCTGATAAATTGAGGACTATTCCCTCCGGCAATTTCCATTTGAAAGAATGCTATGAGGTAGCTAACACAAACATTATCATTTTCTCTTCCAAAAGAATTCCAACAAAAATCCTTCTTCTAGAATCAAATGGAAGAAAACTGATTTTTTTTTTTCCTTTGTACTCACCTATTTCAGTATCTCTGAAGAACCTGTCGGGTTGAATCACGTTGATGCAGGAAATTTTGGCACCAACCAGAGGTATGTGATTGACAATGTTAGAACCACATGGGATTTTTGCGTGATCCCAGTGGCCCAGTGATGAGACAATATGATGATGAATATGCAAGAGTTAATCTAAAACACAAAGAACAAAAAGAGATTTTTTAAAGTGGTTTGGGTGCTCGTAATGCAAGGCCTACGTTCACTGTTATATTATTAAATGCGTTAAAACAATAATATGATTTACAGAGAGTTTGTAGTTTACTTTCTAAGGCTTGTTTTTCATCCCTAGAAACAGATTACAACTAGGTTTATATAGTGCAAGTTACATGGTTGAGTTGGAGATACACTCAAATTTGTTTAAACGATAAGTTGCGTGATCTTCGGCCTTGATTAGGGATCCATATTGCAAGATATCTGCATGTCAAAAGGGGTTTATCTTCTCTAGAATTCCCACACAACAAAACTCAAGTGGATTTTTCCAGGCCTCAAGGTCCCTCTGCATTGCCCAAACATCTATAAAAATTCTTGAGCCCTTAGGGATAGTGTAACCAGACAAATAGCATCTAAATAATGCAGTTTGTCAAGATAAGACTCTTCAACAATGTTGTCATTCCCTACCACTTCTTCCAATTCTTTGCAGGCTTGGATAATAAAGCACTTTTGTCATTGCCCACTCTACTGTGACAGATGTTGTTTCTGTACCTGCAATAACAATGTCATATACTCCTATTGACAAATTTAAAGAAAATACCCCTTAGAACTGAAAGGCATACGTGGTAGAGTTTACTAAGCAAATGCAAAAGTAGCTAAAAAAAATCATCAGGAAGTTTGGAATAAATTATATACCATAAGCAAAGCCTTAATTTGGTTAATGGATAATGGTGATTTATCTCCTCAATGCTTAAGTTCTTATAAGAATTGTTAAAAGTCCTTGCTTCCTTTGCCCCCAGCCTCCAAGGATTAAGCTTACTATTAGGGCCAAAAAATGTCCTCAGCCCAAATAGGATAACACTTCTGACAAAGAGGAAAGCCTAGGCCCAGTCCCGATGCAGCCCGAGCCAGAATTCCCCAGATGAGGCCCATTCGGTATGAAGTACAGTCGGTCCACACCATCTGGACCCAGGCCTCCTAATCCCAGCACACCATCTGGGCCTATGGTCCAATTCGGAGCCCACGGTCACCTACGGATCACACTCCTACTTGAACTCTGATAAGGCAGTTCACTATTATCCCAATTCCTCCAAGTTCCGTATCCGAATCATACTCGAACTCCCTTTCACGCCAGGATAAGGGGGCCAAAAGATACATCCCTGGGAGGAAGGATTACTATGAGAACTCCCAATCCCACCAGGATTGGGAGACCAGACAGTTGCTATTTAAACAGAGGCTAACCCTCTCACAAGGCATATTACATTACACCTCCAGATCCCGGAGTTCTCGCTTGAGAACTTCGCATTACAGCCGTAGTCACAGTCCCCGACTAGACTTTTGGTAACCTCTCTTCTCCTTAGCCCTCACTAAATTAGCCTCTTTCAGCCTTGCTGACTTGAGCGTTGGAGTGCCTACGGCAAACACCACCCCGGTGTTTTCTGTCGCTTCACGTTTGTTTCCTTATGTGTGCAGGTACAGCAGATCGCTAGTGGTCTCAACCTCCTTCCGTACAGGTAGATTTTTACGTCTACACTTACAATCTTTTTGGAAAAGTTCGATGCCATATTAAAGAAGATGAAAAGCTTACTGAAAATAGTTAAGCAGATTATTATGCCTTCTATATCCTTAGTTTAGTGTATATATATATATATATATATAATAATAATATATATGACAAGGGACATAAACCTACACCTTTTAATCGTAGCTAGCATGATTTCAACATTGTGTATTAAAATTAAAGATGCTTGTTTAATATTAATTGCCTCACTTGAAATGCACTATATATATTTGATATTTTACATTTGGTTGTGCTCCAGATAAGCTCTCCTAGATTAGGCTGAAGTTCATGTGGTCCCTGGAGCTAAAAGCACATGGAAGTTACTGGCTTATTTGCATGATCGATCGTCTTCATTACTGGACATTAGTTAATATTAAAATTATAACATGTGTTTAATTTGATTTTCCAATCTTATTTAAATGGACTATATATAAGATTGTAATTAAGCTGTTCTTTTCATCCAACTATTGTAATTGCAGCTACGTTGTTAGCTAACAACATATGCCTCCAAAATCTCCCGCATCTAGTCATTTTAAAAATACGTTTCCTCTCACAATTTTATATTTACAAAAGCTAGAGAATATTCTTCCCCCAACTCGTTCCAATGGTTTTTTCTACTCTATCTCAACAACCACGTTTTAAGTTTTTCTCCCTTCAATTTGCTTGTTTTGAAATCCCAAAGATTCTTTGCAATGCACTGGAATATTGTAAATGAAGTGTTCATACTATATGTCATTTCGATTTAACTTATTAAATGTCCATGATTATCATTTTTCGTGCGGGAGTCGGTTCTATCTTTTATGCCATCAAAATAATCATTTTCCTCTATCAAGTATCAATCTCAATTGGCATTGTAACTACAGAACCCAGTCTAATATGACCGTCACATGTTCAGGCTTTAGTAAGGAATTCGTCGATAGTATATTAAAACTCACAACTGAAATTATAATTCACATGGTTGTAGTCATTTTTAATCGTTTAGGCTTCAAAATCATTATTTTCCTCTTTTGATAGACATTCTCCAATTCTAGCTAACAATAGAAGTTATAAGACAGACCAGAATGTTAACCCACATTTAAAATTTGGAAATAAAAATTCACACCCTTATTATTTTTTCCATCAGATTACAGCAACTCAAAGTATGAAACTGAATCTACATGGGCATGCCATACATCAAACAGAACACACACTCTCGTTTATTGCTAGGTGAGCAAGATATTATCTTCCCACTTCACAGTCGTAACTCTCTCAATTAGTGATATTACATTATTACTACTAGTTATTAAGAAATTTTAATTTTTATATGATTTTGCGGTTGGTATGGCAAGCAGTGGTTTCCTCTTCTTCAAAACAAGACCAAATTTGTCAGATAAATCAAGCTTTGTTCCCTCTGGCAAATTCCATTTGAAAGAGTGCAATAAGGTAGCCAACAAATATGGTAGCAATTTCTCTGCCAAAGGCATTCCAGCACAAATCCTTCTCCCGGAACCAAAAGGAAGAAAATTAAAGTTTTTTCCATGGTAGTAACCATTTTCAGAATCATTCTGGAACCTGTCAGGTTGAAACTCCAGAGGATTATTCCATGCCTCAGAGTCCCTTTGCATTTTCCATACGTTTAGGATAATTCTTGAGCCCTTAGGGATGGTGTATCCGGAAATTGTGCAAGTTATACTCGGGCTGTGCGGAACTAGGAACGGCGCTGGTGGGTGCAATCGAAGTGTCTCTTTTACTATTGCATTTAAATAATGCAGTTTGTCAAGATGAAACTCCTCCACTATATTCTCATTCCCAACCACTTCCTCCAACTCTTTGCTGGCTTTTTTCATTATCTCCGACTGTTGTAGCATTTCTGCCATCGCCCACTCTAGTGTGGTTGATGTTGTATCTGTAGCCGCAACAAAAATGTCCTGTTGACAAGTTCAATATCACAAATCACAACTTAGAACTGAAAATGAATACGTGGTATTCGTTGGATTTGTATTATTGAGCTAGAAAATTAAATTTTAATAGAAAAAAAGGGCAAAAATAGCATTAAATTTCCAACAGATATATACCATGAGCAAACCCTTAATTTGGTTCAAGGATAATGAGGCTTCATCTCCTTGCTGCTTAAGCTCCAACAAGAATTGTAGAAAATCCTTGTTCCCGTTGTCTTCATTCCCGTCTTCTCCACAAACCATACCGGCTTTCATCTGATTGTCTATTAAGGACTCGAAAATCCTGTCAAACGAATGCATAAGTTTGTTCATTTTCGTTCGAAGACCTTGTAAATCAAACCGCGCAAGAGGAGGAAAAAAATCAGAAATGTTGGGAGCTCCCAACAATTCAACAATTTCTTCCACCAGTTCCCTAATTTGAACCCCGTTGCTGCTCTTATTCTCCCCAGGCAATGAAGCACCCCATAACATGTTCATTATTACTTTTAACGCAGTTAAGAAGGTTAATTCACCAATATTTATCGGTGAACCAACCTTCCCATGTACCTCCTCCATCATTTCTACTACTTTTTGTCGTCGAAGTGTGTGACAAGCATTGAGGGCTTTTTTACTCATCAGTTCAGCAACAAAAACTTTACGTAACTTTCGCCATTCATGCCCATAAGACTTCCATAATATGTCAGCTCCGCCAAATGAGAAGGGTAATGCTACTGCAGGAGGATCGCGGTTGGCAAAATTTGCATCATGGTCTTTGAGAACATGTCTTGCTAATGTAGGTGAACTTATCACAATACAAAGTTTGGTACCCAGTTTAAGTTTCATAATTGGGCCATAATTTTCGGATAATTTGGCAAAGTAACGATGGAGTTCAGGTTCAATGGAAAGAAGATTTCCTACTAAAGGCAAGCCAGGTGGAAGTGATGGAATACTTCTGGTTGATTTCTTCATCAACCAGGAAATAGCACATAATACAATGACCAAAATGGTAGTTATCACTCTGATCATGTTGATGTGCCTGGTGACTCCATCCCATTCCCACCAGAGCCACCAAGTTGACCAACCTTCCAAGATTGAGCTACCAATCATACTGGATAACTCTGGCACCATGATTGATAAAGAAAATATGAAATTAAAGCTTACTGGAAAGACCAAGTACAAGAAATTTATTTATAGAACAAGATTTGGGCACTTACTGGAAAAAGACAGCTACCATCTTTTCTTTTCTAAATTGCAGGATGGTTGGCATGTTTTTCATAGTTTTTTCGATGTACATTTTAAAAATTATGAGAAGGTAACTATGTTTGACAATTATGGTCAACTTACGGAGGCCCACCCAAAGGCCAAAGCCAGCCACCATATTTTCTAAACTGCAGGGTGGTTGCCATGATTTTCATAGTTTTTTGCTGGGCATTTTAAAATTATGAGAGGCTTAGTTTGATTCAGTTTAATGAAACTTCGCTCGAAGTCGTGGAAAAAGTCGAAAGAAAAAACAGATTCTTGTTATTATTAGAATGCACTTTTTGGCACGAGTCCTATAACAGAGACCTTTTTATATTCAAACATGGAAATTAAGAAATCAACAGAGGGATAATACGAGTGATTTTATATTAAAAAAAAAAAAAAAAAGAATTGAAAGAGAAATCACGTGCAATTATGAAGACAAATTATAAAATAGAAAATTTGTCGCGGGTGCCATTTTTAATTAAGATATGTATTATAATATTTATTAAAAAAAAATAATTTATGGTATTTTCCTAAATAATGGTTAATTAGTTGGCAGAGGTTGTCTTTATCAAAACTTCAGAAAAAGGAAAAATGTTCAACCTTCTTCACAATTATCAAACTTTAAACCTCCAATGTAATTATATATAATAAATATCAAATTAATTAATTGGTGTTGTGTGTGATTTTGTCATAAAAGCTCGCAAATCTCAAAAGCTCGTAGAGAGATAGTTTGACCCTAAACAAGCTCGACCCAGAGTCAGTTCGATTCAGAGTAAGCTCGACCTAGGTGAAGCTCACCACAGTAATCAATCCAAATAGGTTTTCAACGAAATCAAAGATAAACTTCAATCTCGGATATTTCGGAAGGAATAAGATCAACACTACTGGCAATGCAATCTCAGTGCATGATCACGAAGATCACGGGATTGCAGATCAACTCTTATTGCAATCTTGAACTTATCTCTCTCCATTAATTACAAAGTTGTATAAAAAAAACCCCTAAAACGATGAGAGAGAGGTTAGCAAATTGATTCAGGCATATTACACTATTCTTATAAGCCATATGCTACAAAAAAGGTACAAGTTATAGATCTAGCAGAGAAAAAGCTTTTGATCTCCCATGATGTCTTCTTTCATGAGGACAGATTTCCTTATTATGATGTAGTTCCCAGTTCTAGCCAACCACAAATGACACCTTTTTTGGAAGATGACCCTCCATCAGGTCCATCTTTAGAGCTCATCCCTGCTCCACTTACTACTAGCACTACAGATTTACAAATTGCTCTTTTGTCTTCTGACCTTCCAGCAGTAGAATCTTCCAGCAGTAGTATTCCACCACTCACAGAATCTCTTGGAAGAGTTCCTGATCCCCCTCCACGTCGGTCCCCACACACAATTCGGCTACCCATTTGGGTAGCTAATTGTGATTGTCCCACAATATAGACATGCATAGGTATCCCTTATCCAACATTTAACGATGTCAGCTATAATAGACTATACTAGGCCACAGGGACTGTATCAGTCAGATTTCTACGAAAAGGGAACCTTTTTATTATTCTAGGGTTGTTTCTTACTCTCTTTGGCATCAGACCACGGTTGAAGAACTTTCTGCCCCAATACTAAATCATACATGGGACTTAGTGCCAATGTTCTGAAAATCGGACCGGACAATGACCCGTTCAAGGGTCCGGTTTCCGGTTGGATCGGTCGGTTGGACCGTAATTTATAAAATTACATTTTAGTCCCTAAAGGTTTAAAATTCATCAAAAACACCCCTATATACTCCCTTAAGGTTTGAAATCTATCTAAAACACCCCTTTTTTGCGAAGATTCTGGTGATTGGTGTTGGTAGCGACGATCGACGGCCAATCGAAGCTGGAATCTTGGGGCTTTTGATGTGTAGGTGCCGACGACTCTAATAATGGTGCTAAGGAGTTCCATCGGCGCCGGAAATCGCCGGAATCAACAAAATAACTCTGACGGTCGCGTGAAGTTTCGGTGGACGGCGAGCGACGATGGCTAGACGACGGCCACTGAAAATGGCAGGGTTTTGTAGTGGAGATGCCGTCAAGTCTAATGGCGGTGATTTCTCCCTCGATCGGTGTCGGAATCCGGCGGGATTCAACCGCGATTGGACCGCGATTCGGCATTATTCTGGCGGTCCAACCGCGGTCCAATCCGGTTTAAATGCAAATAACGATTTTTTACTTATTCTGGACCGGAAATGCCGCCGGTCACCGGTCGAACCGGTCCGACCGGACGGTCCGGTCCGGTTTTCAGAACCTTGCTTAGTGCCACATCCATCTCACAGAAAACCTATTGGTTGCAAATAGGTATATAAAATCAAACACTGTTCTAATGGCTCCATTGAGAGATAAAGTTTGCCTGGTTGTAAAAGGTTTCACTCAACATGAAGGGTTTGATTATGTTGAGACTTTCTTCCTAGTGGCCAAACATTTCACTGTCTGCACTTTCCTGACAGTCACATCTGTTCGTGACTGAACCTTGCATCAAATGGACGTTCACAATGCTTTTCTCCATGATGACCTCCACAAAGAAATTTATATAGATATTCCTCTGGAACTTCAACAAACAAGGGGAGAATAAAGTATGTCATCTTCGAAAGTCCCGATATGGTTTAAACCAAGCATCCCAACAATGGAATGAGAAGTTCACTAAAGCTCTCACAAGTCTAGGATTTTCTCAATCTAAACATGATTATGCTTTTTTCTTAAGACGAAGATGTAACTCTCTTGTTGCTCTTATTATATATGTAGATGATGTCTTGATCATAAGAAATGACGAAATAACCATCAAGAGCCTAAAAGAGCATCTGAATAAGCATTTTCATATCAAAGATTTAGGAGAACCAAAATATTTCCTTGGAATTGAAATTGCAAGGTCTCCAACAGGAATATCTCTTAGCCAACAGAAATATGTTCTAAAACTTTTGTCTGATTTTGGTTTGTCGGCATGTAAACCAAGTGTTATTCTTGTTGAGCATAATTCTAAACTCACTACCTAAGAGTATGACAGAGCAATATCATCTTCAGAAGTGTATCTACCATTGGAAGATGCGTCACATTATCAGAGACTTATGGGTCGTCTTATCTATCTCACTATGACACGGCCAGACATTGGTTACGCAGTCCACATCCCCAGTCAGTTCATGCATGGACCAAAACAATCTCATATGGATGTGGCAATAAAGATAATCAAGTATTTAAAGGGATGCCCTGGATCGAGACTTTTCTTATCTCGAAATGCAAACTTAGATGTCACAGCTTATTGCGACTCAGATTGGGGCACATGTCCAATGACGAGGAGATCCCTTACTGGGCTTTGTATAAAACTTGGAGAAGCATTGATTTCCTGGAAAATAAAGAAGTAGTCCATTATATCTCTCTCATCAGCTGAAGCTGAATACAGAGCTATGGCCAAAACCATCTATGAGATCACTTGGATTCTTGGATTACTGGGAGATCTAGAAGTACAAGTAAAAGACCTTGTGCATTTATATTTTGATAATAAAGCAACAAACGATATTGCAACAAATCTAGTGTTTCATGAAAGAACGAAACACATTGAGATTAACTGTCACTTCGTAAGAGGAAAAATTCAAGAAGGAATCATTAAAACCATGCACATTGGTATTGCAGAGTAGCCAGTAGACATCTTCACCAAACCACTGTGCAACAGACAACATTCATATCTATTATGCAAGCTTGACATTTATGATATTTACCAACCGTATGTTTGAGAGGGAATGTTGAGATATGAAAATATTTGTTTTAATTACAATTGATTCTTTCCATACATTGTACATTAATGTCCGGATTTCAAGTGTTGTGTGTGATCCTTCCATCAAACTCGGAGTATCATGAGGTTATAGCCTAATCCGAAAATAGCTCGACTTCATCGATTGTCTGACCTAGTGTAAAGCTCGTCAAGCTATAGCTCGACCCAGCACAAGCTAAATGTGAACAATCTATGCGATCGTTCAACCAATTCCCAGATAACTTTAGATCCCAGATATCTTGGAAGGGATCAGACTGACAGCAATTTTTGAGCGATCACAACGCCCAATCACGAGAATATGGAGTTGCATTTTAGTTCAATTGTAATCCCTTTATTTTTGCTCTTTCCTTTATACAAACTCTGTATATAAACCTCCTCAAATAATGAGAAAGGGGTTGGAAAATATTTCTAGAATTACTATTGTAAGCTCTTACAGCAAATACAAAAACAGTGGTCGTAGGCTTAAGAGTTTATTCGCAGAACCACTTTAAAAATCTCTTTGCTATCTTCTTTACTGCATTCATTACTTATTCATTGCTGATTATCTGTAATCACGCATACACCAGCTTCGATTCCACCAAGGTCGATCGAAACACTCTAGTTGGTGCAGATTTATGTATCAACACTTTGGTGCTAGAAGGAGGGCTTTCGCAAACATCTTAGAAATTTTGGCAAACAACCACAACAATTTAACCAGCTAGGCCCATGATGGTGCGTACAAGATCGAAAACCATCTCCAGAAACCACGATAATGTGGAGACCACCCACCAAGAGGTGCAATAGGGCGCCGCTAGATGTCGACCACTAGTGCCACCTACTCAGCATGCCACGAATAACCAAGGGTAGGAACATCAAACCCCAAAAACAGCCAACTAGTGGAGATGATCAGAACCATGGTTGCACAGGCGGTGTCACAGACTGTGGTTGAGCTAAGAAATCAGCAACCAACCGCTCAAAAATTTGACCAGCCACGCTTCACCAATAACACCCCGCGGGTCAGAATTTAGCCGAGGAGCAAAC